CTTCAATTTTATGTGTTTTGTTATGTACTTCTTTTTTTTAATTTGTTTCGTTTAATTATATTTATGTTAGATTTTATTCATAACTGCCGAAGAAATTCGTCAGTATACGTTTTTAATGTTTACTAGTCTTTTTTTAATTATTTGTGTCTAATTACCAATGGAAACTTAGCTGATATATGTAATTTTGTATAATTATGTCCCATAAGTTTATCTTATTGTTTGTTTCCCTAAAATAAAATAACATACATACATTGCAAGTGAAATAATAACTATTGAAGGTTTTGCATTCATTGTTTAAGAAACAGTCATGACGGGCAGACGGATGTGTATGATATTAGATATAAAATATATTTAGGCACATATTGATAATAAATTTTTGAATTTAATATCGTAGCAACCCAAGTGCGAACTTGCGCTAAAGACTTTATGATCTCTCAGTAAAACATAAAATCTGGACCGCGTTATGTACAGATTGTAAGTTCTTATCTTATTAAATATATGTGATACATCTATCACCCTTAGCATGGTTACACCATTCAATCTGTACTAATATTATAAAGCTGAAGAGTTTGTTTGTTTGTTTGTTTGTTTGAAAGCGCTAATCTCCGAAATTACTGGTTCGAATTGAATAATTCTTTTTGTGTTGGATAGTCCAGTTATCGAGAAAGGCTGTGGGCTATATAACATCACGCTACGACCAATAGGAGCAATGATATAGTGGAAAATGTGTAAAAAACGGGAGAAATTATTTCACCTTTGAAGCCTTCCGTTGCATGCGCCGTGAAAACGGTTCAAGATACACAAAAAATATGTATTAAAGAATAATAGCTCTTTTAATGATCTAAAAGGCCAAAGCGAGGTTGTCGGAGGTGTAGCGAGCTCTGAACATCACCGAGCTGGGTTCAGACTTGAGATCCTGCACGAGACTGCTGCTACTACACCAGGTGGTTACATCACATACTAACTGTTTACTGCGACTTCATGCGTGTATTAGGTATTACTCAGATGGTGATTAATGTGTATCTAATATAATGGATATCATTGTGAGGTCTAAATTGCTTTATAGGAGAGTTTTATCAAAATCAGTAAGGATAATTTACTTGTAAGACCAACATATATCCATACATACCTACTAGATATACTATATAAATACATATATATAGTATTGCTTTTCAAATTATTATCTGTCGTAGTTATGCCAGCTAACTGATATAATTTGTGGTAACTGTCAGTGTGAGTGGTGATGCGGTTTTAAAGATTTCTTTTTTTGCTAAGATTATTTTTATAAAATCAAAGTATAAAGAGCTCATTGCTGGTGCTTTAATAACTAGATTTAAACTAAGGGCTCCTCAGGCGAGAAAACAATTTGATTTAAAGAAAAACAAGTAGAATTATATTGTTTAGAAATGTGTATTAATAAAAACAATTATTGTTTACAGAAAAATGCGATTTCGTCCTTGTTGTATTTACTAGAACATGATATATCTATATTTATATAATATTCAATAGTAACATAAATGTCTACAGGCTCTGGAATAAGAGTTGAGTCAATGCGAACAACGAGCGGAGTCCCTTGCAGCCCAGGGCTCCGACCTTGTCTCCAGTGGTCACTTCGACGGCTTGGCCATTGAGAGAGACTCCGCTGCGCTGCTGCAGACCGCCCGGGCGCTCCGCCCTCGAGCGGCCGAGAGGAGACAGGCGCTGGAAACTAGTCTACAGTCAGTATACGATATAACTAAAACAAAATATGATTCAATACAATATTATATAAGAAATGATTAACGGTGGACGGAACAATATACAGGGTGACTGGTGAATTACTATCAATATTTAAGGAGAATACTCGGTACATGATTCTCATTCGAATTATGTAAAACAAATAGGTACTTAATTTTTGACCAAATTTCCGTATAAATAAATAAAGTGTGGACACGTTCCAAGTGTGGAACGTGGTGTTGTATCAGCACGCCGCCGCACGCGTGTTTGTGTGTGTGTGTATACCTAATCTGTAGGGTGTTCACACGATGCGTAATTAATTACATAACTTTTGGTTAACTTTACTTAGAAGTTTATTAATATTTGTGTTATATGAATTTTTATTTTGTCATATATGATCGTCAAATATCACGTCCTCAAGTATCGATAGTAATTCACCAGTCATCATGTATATGTATGTAATACATACATATATACAATTGAGCCGGGACGGGTATAAAGATTAAAATATTTACTGTAAAGGGCCATAGATCTATTTTAAATCAAAAATGAATTAAAGTTATTTAACTGGATAAGGATTCTCCACTTATTTATGGATATCATTATACATACAAACCTTCCTCTTCAAACAATCTATCTTTCAAAAAAACTGCACCAAAATCCACTGCGTAGTTTTAAATTATTAAGAATGCATACGGATATAGAGACAAGAAAAGCAACTGTTTTATAATTTACTAGCTTTCCGCCCGCAGCTTCGCCGCGTGGAGTTCGGTTATATCGCGTTTCCAAGAGAACCTTTCAAAAGTCTGGGATAAAAACTATCCTATGTTCTTTCTCAAGGTCAACTCTATCTCTGTACCGAATTTCATTAAAATCAGTTCAGTGGTTTAGGCGTGAAAGCGTAGCAGACAGACAGACAGACAGACAGACAGACAGACAGACAGAGTTACTTTCGCATTTATAATATTAGTAGGGATACTATATTAGCTGCGCCCCGCGGTTTTACCAAAATATTTAATATTATAATTAATTTATAATTTGTACACAAAATTTTATCAAAATCGGTTCAGCCGTTTGAGCGTAAAGAAGTAACAAACATACATTTTCCTGTTTATTCATTAGTCTTAAATTGTACCTAAATAATGTAGCACCCGACAAAAATATTGTTTTTGTAATGATTATGCCGTATACACATACTTAAGAATATAATCAAGGTAAAAATAGTTTTATACTGTAACTCATATTTAACCCGGCTTATATTCTGTTTGTGTGCCTAAATAAATAAATAAATACATACACACTCACAAGCTTTCGCAATTATAATATTAGTAGGATAGTAATAGTACATAATCAATTTGAGGACTAATTTTATTGATCCAAATCTTCCACAGACTACACAAGCTCGCTGCCGAGGTTTCAGGAGAGCTAGCTTGAGTGCGCCAGGCCGCCGCTTCATCTGCCACGCGCAGAAGACACACGCCAAGCTGAGGGCGGAGCTGGAGGGGCGGAGGCCCGTCGTGGAGAGGGTGCTCCAGCGGGGCAAGGAGCTGGACACGCATCCACAGGCTGGGAAGGTGGACTATATATATATAACTCACATTCTCATGTATTACATAGTAATGTTGTATAGTTATATGTCCCATTGTATTTGTAGTGATTATATGTAGGTATTTATTTCTAAGAGAAAAACACGCGTCCGTTCGATAGTGCAGAACTGACGCATAGTAAAAAATGTCCATCCTACCAACGTCATATTATGATAGTTAAATTAATTCTGGATCTCCACACCATACCTTGGTTCATCTGAAATATTATAATATTTCAGATGAACCAATTATATACAGCATGCATAATTAAATTATTCTTGGACAAAGTTCGGCTAATAATTGATTTTTTTAATATTTTCTGAGTGAATTCTTGAAGTGAAACCTCTTATGCGACTACCAACAAGGTTGCGTTAAACGTTCAACGAAGGGAAAGAAAGATACACAAATGTCGAAAGTACGAGAGACATTGAGAGTAGATTCCAAGCACATGTGCATAGTACTGTTGCTTACAGCGAAGTAAACAGTGTGAACGCGACATTAACTGAAACACCAATTTGTATTATATTAATTTATGTATATACATATAATTCATTTCCTCAGTCAGTTGTGGCCTAGTGGTTAAAAGTCCCGCATCTCATGCATGAGGGCGCGGGTTCAGTCCTGGCAAATACCAATGTGATTTTTCCGAGTCATATGTACTTTATAAGAGTATTTAGACATCACTGATTAATGCATTCCCAAAGAGGGTTGATGTCAGGCAGGCGGCCGGTCGTAAAAACAATTAGCCAAAACTATTCACACATCTTAGGCAGACCCTGGCTAAAAGCTGGGAAATTGCCAGGAAGAAGAAGATTAGTTTATGCATATACATATAATTTATTTCCCTACTCCACCGACTAAACTATAACGATCACATTCCAGATCAAGCAGCTGTGCCAGGAGCTTGAAGAGGCGTTCTCCTCTGTGTCATCAGCGGCGGAGGAGGGCGCGGCCCGGCTGGAGGTGGCGCTCAAGGCCCAGTAGTTCCTGCATGACGCAGCGGAAGTCGACTCCTGTCTGGCTGACAAGGCCGCCGCACTGGCTTCCGGTGACGTCGGCAATGATAGGCATAGAGCGACGCAACTACTCACACGGCAAAAGGTAATATACATATATATACATAGCTAAGAATTAGATTTTCGTCATATCACACAATTTTTGAGCTACAAGAAATGTATGATAAATCTCTATATATATATATATATATATATATATATATATAAGTCATCAAGTGACTTATGAAGTGAAAATTTATCAGTTATTGAGTAGGATCAAATATTTATAAAACATATATTAAAAATAGGGGTTGGTGATAGAAGAGTGATAATTTAGGGTCGTATGTATTTTATAATGCCACATCATGAAAAGGTTGTCCAAAAAAATTAAATAAGGTGTTAAAAGTGGGCCGCCCTTATACTTAGGGGTATGAAATATAGATAGTAGCCAATTGTTAAAATTATTGAATATGCATATAAAGTTTCATAAAAATCGGTTAAGCCGTTTGGCAGGAGTATGGCATCTAACATATATATATGGACTTAAATCAGAAGAAGTTGTCATTATTTAAATTTGTAACACTTTCACTTAACAGAAATATAATAATACAGAGTATATTCAGCATTATCTTACATTTCCTCTTTAACCTACCAACAGGCCGTAGAACTCGAGTTGGACACATACGCGGCGATCATAGCGGAAATGGGTCACGTGGCGCAATCCATGGCTTCCGGTGGTCATCCTGAGGGAGCGGCGCTGGTCACCAGACATGACCAGCTGGCTGGCAGTCTGGCTAGGCTGCAGAGACTGGCAGCGAGCAGGCAGGCCGCGCTCATGGAGAGTGTGTGCAGGTGAGAGATACTATATATATATATATATATATATATATATATATATATATATATATATATATATATATATACATATCATATTCTTCGCACTACTTATAGTCAAGAAGGGCTATAAGAATTTGTAAATTTATTTCGAGGTAGTTTAGAAACAGGAGACTGACGTAGCATACTTTCCATTAAGCAAGGTAGAAATTTAAATAAATAACAACTTAAAAAAGACTTGTTATTTACTGCTTCTTAAGCGTTACACAGTAACGCCTTTCTATTCCTGAAGTTGATTATGAAGAAGTTGCTGACAAAGACTAGTATATGTGTGTTATAGGAATATATAAATAGGATTTTCTCTAAAAATATGTGTGTCTATCCTTAGACTTGAATATCTGGCTGAGAGCGCTGAGCTGGAGGAATGGGTTGCGGAGCAGCAAGCAGCCGCCTCCAGTGAAGACTACGGACAGGACTATGAACACTTACTGGTGAGTAACGATATGTAGATGATGATGATGATGATGATGATGATGATGATGATGAGAGGGTACTCCAGCCATCACACTTGGTGATGGAGTCATTATTCAGTTATATCTTCAAATACTAAGCTTTCAAACTTCACGGATATCCGTTCAGCAATCCTATTTTTAGAAACTAACGAATGAATGCTAAATTTCGTTGAAGTTTAAGTCAATTTGAGCATTTAGTACGTAATTTAGTGTTTTTTTTATTTTTTGTATCTCAGAAGGATGTGCAAAGATTAGCATGTCATAATATTAAATATACCTAAATGGTTACAGCTTAATTAAAATATCCTCCAAAATCATTAAATTATATCTATGTATAATCTAAGACATCATATTTCCCCCACCCACAGATCCTTAGGTACAAGTTCGAAGAGCTCCGTCACCGTGTAGAGAGTGGGGCAGAGAGGTTCAACCAGTGTGAGGAGCTGGCCAAGAAGCTGGTCGCCTCAGACAGCCCATACATCGCTGACATTGAAAAGAGACAGGAAGGGCTCGGGTGAGGGGAACTTGGAAAATGACCCTTAATTACATAACATATAGGATCTTATTCAGATATCCAATATGTCCACATAAACTTATACCAAACAAAATTAGTTTTAACCATACATACAGATATAGAATCTAAATAAGACATACCACAAATGCAAATAAATTTGTACAAGTTAAAATGACACTTAATGACTAGATATAGAATTTAATTTAGACAAAGAAAAATGAGACTTAATTACATACGCATAGAATCTAATTCAAAAAATCCACATGTCATTTAAAATAAGGCAAAATGAATTTTAATTACATATTTATAAGATCTAATTTACATAATCCACAACTCAAATACAATTCATATATTCCAGGGAGTCCTGGGAGCGTATGGTAGAACAGATCCAATCCCGCAGCCAGCGCCTGGCTGCTGCTGGCGAGATCCACCGCTTCCACCGCGACGCCGGGGACCTGCTGGCGCGGGCCGGGGAGCGCCGGGCACACCTCGCCCCGCCCCCCACGCCCCGCGACCTGCGCGCCGCCACCGCCCTCTTGAGGGACCACGACGCAGCCGAGAACGATATGGTCTCTATAGACGCGCAGACTTGAGAAAATTATGACTTTAAACATATTATGTATTTTAAACTAAAACCTCGACAATCATAATAAATGTATCACTAGGTAGTTTAACATATTCTTACAATAAATTAAAAATAATTGTGTACAAAACAGTGATAAGAAATGCAAACTCATAGACACAGAGTAACTATTAAGATTGACTTATAATGAAATCTAAGATTTTCGCGAGTATTCATTTAAATGAAACTAATATTTCTTGGATGAACGTTTTGATAAAAAAATACATATTTCGTTTACTTTACAGTATCATGATCACGGGCAGACAATATGAGAGGAAACTTCTCAGCATTCCATGGATTCACCGTGCGGGTGCCGGGTCCATCGCATTGGTATCCAAATATTAGTTTCATTTAAATGAATACTTGTCAAAATCTATTTCATAATATCATAGCTCCTTATTTAATGTAGCCTAATTCTGCCTAAATAAGATTTTAACTGATTTTTGCAGTATTTTATAGTTGTAGTAATATACACCCTGGCCCGGGCAAGTACCAATGTAATTTTTCCGAGTCATATGTACTTTCTAAGAATATTTAGACATCACTGATTAATGCATTCCCAAAGAGGGTTGATGTCAGGCAGGCGGCCGGTCGTAAAAACAATTAGCCAAAACTATTCACAACATGTAAGGTAGACCCTGGCTAAAGCTGGGAAGTTGCCAGGTAGAAGTGATAGTTGTTGTGATTTTTTTTTTATGTTATAGGTGGCAAACGAACAGACGGCCCACTTGATGGAAGGTGGTTACCGTCGCCCATGGACATCCGCAACAAATATGTTGCGGATGCGTTGCCTACCTTTTCTTTTTAGGGATAGGGAAGGGAGGGAATAAGGAAATACAAGGAAAGGTTGGGAAAAGGGAAAGGGCAACCGGCTCTCTCACTCATCGGACGAAACGCAGTCATTACTGACTACTTCACACCGATCTTCTGTGAGAGGGTGGTACTTCCCCGGTCGAGCCAGCCCATGTTCGAGCTGTAGTAACTTAACCACAGCTAGGCTCTACCACCTTAATGTGATATTAAATCTATTTCCAGGTGCTCCAGGAGGAAGTAACTCCCAGCAGATAGCGCTGAGACAGCAGGCGCTCAGTGAGGCGTGGCGGTCACTGCGAGGTGCTGCAGACCTTAGGAGGAAACTGCTGCACCAACACCTGGAATTACAGACCTTCCTATCCGAGGTATTACTGTGGGATTTCACTATTATACAAAACCTTTATGATATGATAGTGTTTTAATATATTGCTACATTTGATTAATCTATCTAATTTGTAAATATTTTCTTTATATACTAATTAATTACTAACGATTTTACGCCTATAAGTAATGTATCCTTTATGATATTTTATATCCATTAAGATATTATTATCACTTATATGAGAATTACACTTATAATAAAAACATTTATGAATATACAGTTCGACATCGCACTTGTAACAAATATTAAATGAAATAACGTTTAATTAAGAGATATTTTTCTATATTAAGCACTAATTTAATTGTTGTCTTAGTTTTGATTATTTAATATATACTATCTGCCCCGCAAACGTTGTTTTATCATATCAAAAGTAGGGGTTGGTGATAAAAAAAATATTTAGGATTTTATGTATTTTCTTATGACACTTGATAAAAAAATAAAAACAAAACCTTTCGTCCAAATCAATACAAAATTTAGGGGTGAACAGCCCCTATTACTTAGGTTATGAAAAATAGGTATTGGCCGATTCTCAGAGCCTCAGACCTACTCAATATGCTTACAAAATTTCATGAGAATTGGTCAAGCCGTTTCGGAGGAGTACGGAAACGAACATTGTGACACGAGAATTTTATATATAAGTTATATATATATCATGAATATCGTTCCCCAGCTCCGTGACGTCATCTCGTGGTCGTCGTCCCTAGCTGCCGCACGCTCAGCACCAGCGGCACAGGCTCAGAGGTTACTACACCCTGGAACAATATTATACTATGAAAAACATGTTAGCAATAGTATATGGGATTAAAAGTTATATTTTTTGTATTTAAGAAGTGTTTATAGTAATTTTTTATAACTTAAATTTTTCAGTTAAAGTTTGACATTTTCTTTCAATACTAATGTATATTCGTTTTTTTTGAATCATTCGAATATAACTTATAGCATGACTTAAGTGTTTTTCATAATGAATATAAAACAATTTTAAAAGAATGCTACATCACAATTCAAATAAAGATACCAAATATGTATGATATATCTGTTCTATGTACCTATATTAACAAAAATGTGATGATAACTTTGTCTTAGCTAATTGGCTGTATTTTTGTCCAATAGAACTGCAAAACCTATTTTTATGAAATAGATTACGTTAGATATCAATTGAACCTATGTGTTTTTAGTGTGACTTCTGACCTCACGATATATTTGTATATTAATCTTTGTATTTAGTAGTAGTCTCACTTTTATCTTTGTTCAAAATAATTTTTGATGACAGTTTGATCAGTAAATAAAAATCATTTAATCTTAAGTATTTAAGTTGTTTGTTGGTTCTGAAAGAAGAAATCTTTCGAAAATAAAATAAAATAAAGATTCTCGTCATCAAATATTTCATACGCCGCGTCGTTAGCTTGATAAATAAGCACCTTTTCCTTACAAAATATATTGTTAGGGTTAATTATACAGATAATATATAGGAATAACTTCAATAGTTCTAAATTGTTTTGTGACTTTACATAAGAATACATCTATCAAAGGATATCATTCTAATGCACTATTTAATATTTATTTTTAGTTATTAAACACGGTTCCCATATTTTTACCAATTTTTTTATAATTCCTACATAGTAACGATATTACAACCTCATAATGAAGTGGTCTGAGCTCCCTCCACCAACTAGTGAGAGGGAGACGATGGAATAATAATCACTGACGTGTTCTATAAATTTGGTTTTAGTTTCTTTAAAATTTTCCTTTTAAAATCAAACAATACAATTTTTTTTCTTTGCTGTATAATATTTGAACCATGAATATAAAGTTCAACACAAAAAAATAAATAACGCAATCTTCGTCATCCGCCCTGAAAGTTTAATGATCATGTAACATCTCTGAAAGAACTTCAGCAGAAAACAGAACATTTCATAAACGACCTTATGTATTATAATTTTATTGCTGTTCGTTAGTGTCACCAAACCTTGACAACGGCTGAAAGGATTGGAATGTTTAAAAGGTCAATTAATATGAAAATACTTTCGTTTTCACTTTGAAGTGATTAGAAATCAACTTAAAAGAATAGTTTAAAATGAATAACTAAAAAGAATTTTTTATATCTTTCTAACTACGTAATCATATTCATTAGGTTAAAAATAAACGTATTTTTTTAGTTACTTACATTTGGTAGCACAATAATATTAACTTAGTATCAGATTGTTTATATTTCAGTAGAACAATTTTAAATTTCTGGACGCAAACATAATATTTGACGTTTGACAAGCACCTAATTTGTCGATCCATCCTCTATGTCAATTATCAATCGATACTCGAGACAAATAGCTCAAAACCGGTGATAGTGACATTTGAAGTTATGTACTGTTTTTTTTTTTTTTTTGTTCGTTAGATTTGAATAAAAAGTAACTATTAACCATACCTCCACACATACAAACTTTCGCTTTTATAACATTTGAGGATTCTGATGCTGAAGATGGTAAGTAAACGTTTGCATGTTCTATGGGTTTCATAATTTCGATTGGCATGGAAATGGTTTAATAGTCAAACCGCTGAAATATAAAAAAAAACCTTTTTTAGTCATACTCTGGACTGAAATTTATGAGGCAACTAATGACATTTAAATAAAACTAATATTTTGCGGATATACTAAGTGACTTTATTTTTGATTAAAACTACATACTCCCGACGCACTATGGAAGAGCCCCATACAAGGCCGTCTAAAAACCCTTTCACATGAAAGTCGTTGTTATGGAGTAAAACTAATTAATTATTTTAGTCTTATAAATAAACTTTCTTTTATATAATTTTTTAAATATTTTTTTGCAAACAGTATGTAATGTATGTATGTATATAAAAAGATATCAAAGCTAACTCATGTTCAATGATGTGATTTTGGCACAATACATTACTACAATTCAACGCCACATTACTCGAAAGTTTTTGATATAAATTTATAAGTATTACATAATTTTGAAATGCTTATAATCTCATTATAACGTTTCTTAAATAATATTACGTATAATAAATAAATAAATTACAACTAACCAATATAGTTTAAGCTGGTATCATTTTCGGGTTCTTTTTTTTAACGACACCTAACCCTTTACCGCTGTCGAGGTATTTGTTGTTTTACAATCTTTATATATTAGTTTACATAAGGAAATACAAGTTGCGCCTACTTGCGCCTTTTCTGATACGGTGCCAAAACATATTTAAACATAACTTTATTTATATTTATTTTTTAAATAAATTAATAAACATAATTTTCAAAATTATTTTTTTTTTATTAAGCCTTATACTTTCACGTATATGTGTGCAAAATTACAGATCATTCAGTTTTGAAATAACTGAGATATGGAGGTTTGAGACGAAACATACGAGATTTTTCCATAGTGCCACGTTTCGGTTGCTCTAAAGTATGTATAGTTTTTATCAAAAACTAGCTGACTCGGCGGACTTCGTACCACCCTATAATCAAGAAATATCTGTTACCTTTTTATCTCAATGAAGTTACTTTTTATACGGTTTTATTTAGCTCACCCTGTTTGTTTTATTTTTTACAAGTTAGTACTTGTAATTGATTATGAACTTTATGCAATAGCAATAAAGCTCAAATTAATTCTGCGTTTTAGTTAGAAATCGTTTGTATGTGTAAAAGAAAAGGGTTGTTTTTAGGGTTTCCCGGCAATTATTCGATTTTTTCTTGCCGTAAAAACCCTCCTTGGACTTCAACGAACATTTAAAAAAAAGAATTGGCCAAATTGGTCCAGGCGTTG